GAGAACGTACAAGCAGGTGAGCGTACAAGCAGGTGAACGTACAAGCAGGTGAACGTACAAGCAGGTGAACGTACAAGCAGGTGAGCGTACAAGCAGGAGAACGTACAAGCAGGTGAGCGTACAAGCAGGAGAACGTACAAGCAGGTGAGCGTACAAGCAGGTGAGCGTACAAGCAGGAGAACGTACAAGCAGGTGAACGTACAAGCAGGTGAGCGTACAAGCAGGAGAACGTACAAGCAGGTGAGCGTACAAGCAGGAGAACGTACAAGCAGGTGAGCGTACAAGCAGGTGAGCGTACAAGCAGGAGAACGTACAAGCAGGTGAGCGTACAAGCAGGAGAACTACAAACAGGTGAGCGTACAAGCAGGTGAGCGTACAAGCAGGTGAACGTACAAGGAGGAGAACGTACAAGCAGGTGAACGTACAAGCAGGAGAACGTACAAGCAGGTGAGCGTACATGCAGGTGAACGTACAAGCAGGTGAACGTACAAGCAGGTGAACGTACAAGCAGGTGAGCGTACAAGCAGGTGAACGTACAAGCAGGTGAACGTACAAGCAGGTGAACGTACAATCAGGTGAGCGTACAAGCAGGTGAACGCACAAGCAGGTGAACGTACAAGCAGGTGAACGCACAAGCAGGTGAACGTACAAGCAGGTGAACGCACAAGCAGGTGAACGTACAAGCAGGTGAACGCACAAGCAGGTGAACGTACAAGCAGGTGAGCGTACAAGCAGGTGAACGTACAAGCAGGTGAGCGTACAAGCAGGTGAGCGTACAAGCAGGTGAATGTACAAGCAGGTTAGCGTACAAGCAGGTGAACGTACAAGCAGGTGAGCGTACAAGCAGGTGAGCGTACAAGCAGGTGAACGTACAAGCAGGTGAGCGTACAAGCAGGTGAGCGTACAAGCAGGTGAACGTACAAGCAGGTGAACGTACAATCAGGTGAGCGTACAAGCAGGTGAGCGTACAAGCAGGTGAACGTACAATCAGGTGAACGTACAAGCAGGTGAACGTACAATCTGGTGAGCGTACAAGCAGGTGAACGTACAAGCAGGTGAACGAATCAGGCTATTCCTGACCTGACTCATCTCATTATTTTGCACCATATACAAATATTGATTTGAAGGAACCAATTTCCTATGTCAGGTCATTGCCATATAGTAGAAACATTACAGGCCTTAGAACCGAGCCTTGTGGTACTCGTCTCATAACCTCCCTCCGCTCTGATGTCTCTGCTCTCAACGTAACCCTTTGCTTCTTTCCTGAAAGATACATTCTCCCCCACCTTAGGACTCTCCCAGATACGCCAGCCCTCCTTTTCTTGTTCGAGTAGGAGTCTTTCATGTGAGACCGTACCAAATGCCTCCTTACACTCAAGGAATATGCAATTAACCCATTCCTCTCTCTCTCTCTTGTTTGATTTTTGTCATCTTGTTATAAAAACTCAAGAAAGTTTGTCAAACAGTTTTTCTTTACTAAAACCGTGGTGGTGCCTAGAGACAAAATTGATCTTTTCTTCTCCTGGTTGCAATTTTTTTAACCATGTTGTAGCACAGTCGATTAAGGCGCGTTTGGGATCCTCTCGGACGTAGGTTCGAACCCTCATCACGGCCCTTGTGGATTTGTTCATTTGGTCTGTTTTAGTTCTTGTAGCCTGCTTCGGATCATTCCCTCTGGCAACTTGCAAGGGAAAGTTTAGTTATATCGGTGTGCAGGTTTCTGTCTTCCACCTTTCTTGTAGATTGGTACCACATTAGACATTTTACAGTAGTCAGGAGTTAAGTATCATGGCAAGTGGGCTGCACAATGCTTCAGTTGCCTCGTTTAGTATCCAAGGCGATATTTTGTCTGGTTCCACGGCTTTTATCACATCCAGTTTCTGCAGTTACTGCTGTACAAATCTGGTGTTGCTGTTTCAGTAAGGGTTTCCTGTAGAATTTTCCGTTCAATTTGGGCTCTAAGCGCCAATGGCAAATTTTCAGCTCAAAAATACTTCCTGAAAGCTTTTAAGTTCAACGCATACCTCCTTATCATTTACCCTGTCATCCTTTACTTTTGTCAAGTCTGATAACTGCTCATTCACAGTCATCTTCCTCCTCATATGAATATGAAACAGTTTGGACTTGGGCTTTGCCTTTAGTGTAATGTTATTTTCGTGTACTCACCTAGATGTGCTTGCGGGGGTTGAGCTTCGGCTCTTTGGTCCCGCCTCTCAACTGTCAATCAACAGGTGTACAGGTTCCTGAGCCTACTGGGCTCTATCATATCTACACTTGAAGCTGTGTATGGAGTCAGCCTCCACCACATCACTTCCTAATGCATTCCATTTGTCAACTACTGACACTGAAAAAGTTCTTTCTAACGTCCCTGTGGCTCATTTGGGTACTCACTTTCTGCCCGTGTCCCCTTGTTCGCGTATCACCAGTGTTAAACAGTTTATTCTTTTTAACCCCTGTCAATTCCTCTGAGAATTTTGTAGGTAGTGATCACGTTTCCCCTTACTCTTCTGTCTTCTTGTGTCGTGAGGTGCATTTCCCGCAGCCTTTTGTTTGTGTGTACTCACCTATTTGTGCTTGCGGGGGTTGAGCTTTGCTCTTTCGGCCCGCCTCTCAACTGTCAATCAACTGTTTACTAACTACTTTTTTTTTTTTTTTTTTTTTTTTTTTTTTTTTTTTTTTTTTTTTTTTTTCACACCACACACACACACACACACACACACACACACCCCAGGAAGCAGCCCGTGACAGCTGACTAACTCCCAGGTACCTATTTACTGCTAGGTAACAGGGGCACTTAGGGTGAAAGAAACTTTGCCCATTTGTTTCTGCCTCGTGCGGGAATCGAACCCGCGCCACAGAATTACGAGTCCTGCGCGCTATCCACCAGGCTACGAGGCCTGTGTGTACTCACCTAATTGTGCTTGCGGGGGTTGAGCTCTGGCTCTTTGGTCCCGCCTCTCAACCGTCAATCAACTGGTGTACAGATTCCTGAGCCTATTGGGCTCTATCATATCTACATTTGAAACTGTGAATGGAGTCAGCCTCCACCACATCACTTCCTAATGCATTCCATTTACTAACTACTCTGACACTGAAAAAGTTCTTTCTAACGTCTCTGTGGCTCATTTGGGTACTCAGCTTCCACCTGTGTCCCCTTGTTCGCGTCCCACCAGTGTTGAAAAGTTCATCCTTGTTTACCCGGTCGATTCCCCTGAGGATTTTGTAGGTTGTGATCATGTCCCCCCTTACTCTTCTGTCTTCCAGTGTCGTGAGGTGCATTTCCCGCAGCCTTTCCTCATAACTCATGCCTCTTAGTTCTGGGACTAGTCTAGTAGCATACCTTTGGACTTTTTCCAGCTTCGTCTTGTGCTTGACAAGGTACGGGCTCCATGCTGGGGCCGCATACTCCAGGATTGGTCTTACATATGTGGTGTACAAGATTCTGAATGATTCCTTACACAGGTTCCTGAACGCCGTTCTGATGTTAGCCAGCCTCGCATATGCCGCAGACGTTATTCTCTTTATGTGGGCTTCAGGAGACAGGTTTGGTGTGATATCAACTCCTAGATCTTTCTCTCTGTCTGTTTCATTAAGTACTTCATCTCCTATTCTGTATCCTGTGCCTGGCCTCCTGTTTCCACTGCCTAGTTTCATTACTTTGCATTTACTCGGGTTGAACTTCAACAGCCATTTGTTGGACCATTCACTCAGTCTATCCAGGTCATCTTGTAGCCTCCTACTATCATCCTCTGTTTCAATCCTCCTCATAATTTTTGCATCGTCGGCAAACATTGAGAGGAACGAATCTATACCCTCTGGGAGATCATTTACATATACCAGAAACAGTATAGGTCCAAGGACTGACCCCTGCGGGACTCCACTTGTGACGTCTCGCCAATCTGAGACCTCACCCCTCACACAGACTCGTTGTCTCCTGTTGCTTAGGTATTCCTCTATCCACCGGAGTACCTTCCCTCTCACTCCAGCCTGCATCTCCAACTTTCGCACTAGCCTCTTGTGTGGCACTGTATCAAAGGCTTTCTGACAATCCAAAAATATGCAGTCTGCCCACCCTTCTCTTTCTTGCCTTATTTTTGTTGCCTGGTCGTAGAATTCAAGTAACCCTGTGAGGCAGGACCTGCCATCCCTGAACCCATGTTGATGCTGTGTTACAAAGTTCCTTCGCTCCAGATGCTCCACTAGTTTTTTTCGCACAATCTTCTCCATCAGCTTGCATGGTATGCAGGTTAGGGACACTGGCCTGTAGTTCAGTGCCTCCTGTCTATCCCCTTTCTTGTATATCGGGACTACGTTAGCTGCTTTCCAAATATCTGGCAGTTCCCCTGTTGCCAGTGATTTGCTATACACTATGGAGAGTGGTAGGCTCAGTTCTCTTGCTCCTTCCTTTAGAACCCAAGGGGAGATTCCATCTGGGCCTATAGCCTTCGTCACGTCCAACTCTAGTAAACACTTCCTTACTTCCCCACTGGTAATCTCAAACTCTTCCAGTGGTTCCTGGTTAGCTATTCCCTCACTTACCTCTGGAATTTCTCCTTGTTCTAAGGTGAAGACCTCCTGGAATTTCTTATTCAATTCCTCACACACTTCCTTGTCATTTGTAGTGAATCCTTCCGCCCCTATCCTTAATCTCATAACCTGTTCCTTTACTGTTGTTTTTCTCCTAATGTGGCTATGCAACAATTTAGGCTGAGTCTTTGCCTTGCTTGCGATGTCATGTGTGCCTTGCTTGCGATGTCTTGTGTGTGTGTGTGTGTGTGTGTGTGTGTGTGTGTGTGTGTGTGTGTGTGTGTGTGTGTGTGTGTGTTCGTGTTCGTGTTCGTGTTCGTGTTCGTGTGCGAGCGTGTGTGTGTGGTTGGATTAAAGGAGCTCGCGGAGAAGGGGGGGGGGGTGGAGGGATCCCGGGTATAAGCGAGGCATGAGGGAGGGGGCATGAGGGAGGGGTATGGTAGGGGGCGCGGCTGGCAGGTTAGTGGTGGGGGAGAGGAGGTTGCCTCACTTCAGTGTTGTCATCACAGTGGTGTGGAGGCCTCTCAACCTCCTCCCGCAGCACCACCTCTCTGCTGCCAGGTGCCCTCTGCTCTGTCCAGTCACTCAGTGCCTCACCCTCCAGTGCCTCACTCACCAGTGCCTCACCCACTCTGCCACGGGAGACGAACGCGCGCGCGCGCAAAAGTGCGGACGTCACCTACTCCAGTCCTGAATTTGTAATAATTATTATTTCTGTTCATTATTGTGATTGTGCGTGATTGTGGTTGGTGGAGCAGCTTGCGGGTTATTGCGGTGCGGTTAATGGCCGCGCGTGTGGGTGGGCTGGGATAACCGCAGTGTGAGGGCTGTGGCCGCGGTTAATGGAGGTGTGCAGGGGCCTGGGAGTGGACTCAGGCGTGATGCTGGCCAGAGGCAAGACCACCACCACCGCGCCCTCTGAGGCCGCGTGCGCCTGTCCGGCCTGCTGCTGCTACTGCGACCTCTACTCCCTGGCCGAGTGGGCGTACCGCGACAAGCTGCCCTACCCGCCCGCGCCCGTCACCTACTCCCCCGCGCCCCACCCGTGCCCGGAGATGACCCCGGGGGAGGGCGTGCCCGCCGCGCTGCACAACCCTCACGTGCACGTGTCGCCAGACGTGGCCGCAGCCTTCCTGCTCTCGCTGGACCTCCTGCGGCCACACTCCTCGCAGTACCACGCCCTCCACCACGCCCTCGAGAACCACGCCTTCAAACACGCCAGTGAGTCTTCCCTTCACTTGTTTACCCGTGGTGGTCTTGTGTGGTTGTCTGGTGAGTGTGCACACCTGTTGCACGGTTGTGCGGGTGTGGAGTCACTGTAGGTGGAGCAGCAGGTGTGTAATGTGCATGTGGGAGAAGCATAAGGTGTGTCGTGACTGTGAGAAAGGAGCCACATCTGTGCAAGACCAGGTGTGGAGCACCAGGTGTGGGCTGGTAGTGTGGGTGTCAGTGTTGTGGTGAAGGAAATGTTACTAGCAGCAGGTGTGGGCTGGTAGTGTGCTTGTCAGTGTTGTGGTGAGGGAAGTGTCACCACCAGCAGGTGTGGGCAGGTAGTGTGGGTGTCAGTGTTGTGGTGAGGGAGTGTCACCACCAGCAGGTAGTGTGGGTGTCAGTGTTGTGGTGAGGGAGTGTCACCACCAGCAGGTGTGGGCAGGTAGTGTGGGTGTCAGTGTTGTGGTGAGGGAGTGTCACCACCAGCAGGTGTGGGCAGGTAGTGTGGGTGTCAGTGTTGTGGTGAGGGAGTGTCACCACCAGCAGGTGTGGGTGTCAGTGTTGTGGTGAGGGGAGTGTCACCACCAGCAGGTGTGGGTGTCAGTGTTGTGGTGAGGGGAGTGTCACCACCAGCAGGTGTGGGCTGGTAGTGTACTCACCTAGTTGTACTCGCCTAGTTGTGCTTGCGAGGGTTGAGCTCTGGCTCTTTGGTCCCGCCTCTTAACTGTCGGATTACCGTGTGTGTGTGTGTTTTGTGCGTGCGTGCGTGCGAGTGCGTCCTCCTAAGGTTTCCCAACGTCAAGAAAACGGACAATATAAAGTGTCCTTCACTAACCTACCAGAGGACCCACAACAGAAAACGGGACAGTACGTCACTTTCGCCAGCCGCTTCCATTTTCTAGTACGACAACTTTTGGCATTAGGTAACGCATATTAGCGAAAAGCAACGTCCCCTGCACGATGACAGGTTGGTGCAGTGAATGTTCAGGGACCATATGTGTTGTGTAGCCTCTCCTCCTGGGCCTTTGTTTGGGTATTTACTTATTTAGGTGTCTTCCTGTCCACGTGTTCGTGTGCACGTATGTCCGTGTTCGTGTGTTTACTAGTTGTGTTTTTACGGGGGTTGAGCTTTGCTCTTTCGGCCCGCCTCTCAACTATCAATCAACTGTTTACTAACTATTTTTTTTTTTTTTTTTTTTCCACACCACACACACACACCCTAGGAAGCAGCCCGTGACAACTGACTAACTCCCAGGTACCTATTTACTGCTAGGTAACAGGGGCACTTAGGGTGAAAGAAACTTTGCCCATTTGTTTCTGCCTCGTGTGGGAATCGAACCCGCGCCACAGAATTACGAGTCCTGCGCGCTATCCACCAGGCTACGGGGCCCCAGCAGGTAGTGTGGGTGTCAGTGTTGTGGTGAGGGAGTGTCACCACCAGCAGGTGTGGGCAGGTATGTGTGCACGTATGTCCGTGTTCGTGTGCACGTATGTCCGTGTTCGTGTGCACGTATGTCCGTGTTCGTGTGCACGTATGTCCGTGTTCGTGTGCACGTATGTCCGTGTTCGTGTGCACGTATTACGTGTTCGTGTGGCCAGTGGGTGCAGGTTAAAGTTGTTGGTGGAAGGGGGGGGGAAGGTTGGATAGTCTCAGTCAGTTGCAGTATTGTCCTTGTTTACACACAGGTGGTGTTGGTATTGTCCTTGTTTACACACAGGTGGTGTTGGTATTGTCCTTGTTTACACACAGGTGGTGCTGGT